CTTTTTATATTATAAACTTTCAAGCTTACCAAAAAGTTGCAAGATTAGTACCAGGACAACTGTATACCTTTTATTCAGATCCAACATTTTACTACATTCCCCTCCTCTCACCCTCGCTTCCTTTCTCTCATTTTCCCTCTCCCTCTGTCCATGTGTATGTGTATATAAAATTATACAGTATATGCAGACTTCTTTTTGCTGAACAATTTGAAGATTAGTTGCACATATTGTGATACTTTACCTCTAAATTCTCCAGCTTGTGTTCCTCCTAGCATCAAGAGTATTCCCCTGAATGCACAACTATTTCTAACAAGATAGTTATCACATGAAGGAAATTCAACACTGAGTGAATACTATTATTTAATATTCAATCCACACTCAAATTTCCCCCAACTGTCCCAATAATGTCTATTATAGTTGTTTTTCCTCAATCAAGGCTCACATATGGCACTTGGTTTTCATATCTCCTTATCTCCTTAGTCATCATTCATTTGACACAGTTTTCCAGATTTTTTGGGGACAGGGGGGAATCTTTAAAGATACTGACAGTGTTAAAGAGCACAGGACAGCTGTTTTATGATATGCCCCTCAATTTAGACCTGTCTGATTGTTTCCTGAGAATTGGACTTAGGCGAAATATTTTCACAGACATTCTATCAAGGTGATGCTGTGACCAATTAGTGCACCTTATTTCATTTGTACCCATTAAGGGTACTGACAAGTTTGATCAAAGTAAATTTACTGCTTAAAGCTATGATGTCTTAACATAAACACTAAACCATTCACACACCTTTATTTCAAACTGTTAAAATAGTTATTCAAAATCTTACTCCTTGATAGCATATGCAACACAGCCATCTTTTTTCTCTCTGATACATGAAGTCATTTTCTCCTAAACCCAGAAAGGCTATCTCCATTCTATAATAAAAGATCATATGGACCTTAAACACTAAAGACTTCACTAAGAAGGTGGTTTTGCATTGGGTTTTGATAAATAAATAAGATTTTGTCAAGAAGAACAGGGGGACAGTATTATATTCATGAGAACTATAATCATACATGAGAGTGAATAATGTTTGAGTAGCTGTGAGTTGACTATAATAAACCAGGTAAAAAAAATGAGAAAGGATTTCTCTAGGCTTTGTCTAATACCCAAGGAAATGTGACCAGCAGACAGACTGGAGAAAGCTGCCCAAATCTCTGATAGCTGAACTAGGGTAACTGCGTGTCTATGGAGCCTTCACTGATATAGGGAAATGGGGGACAGGAGTGGTCATTTAAGTTTAATTTGAATATGTTAAGTTTGAGATGCTGGTAAGTCATTCAGATAGTACTATCCTATAAGCAGAACAAGGCGTCTGGAATTCAGAGAAAACTTAGTGAGAAATAATGATTTGGGTCAATGCTATGAAGAGTTGAAGTCATGAATACAGAACTTGAGTGTAGAAAGGGAACAGACAACGGTTTGAAGAAAGAACTCTAGAAGAACATTAACAGAATGGGATATGGGAGGAGAACCCCAACTAGTACATTGGTTTTTGGAAATGTTGAGCTGAAGGTAATTGGAAGAGAGGAAAAGAGTTTGACCAGATTTAGATTCAGGACATTAGTAAGTGGGCAGTAATTACCTATACTTAGGCAAGGATTTTTTAGACTCATTATGTGTGCTTTTGTTAACAACAATGATACCACTGTAATTAACCCAGTTATGAGTAACTGTAAAGGAGCAAAGGGAAGGCCAAATATTATGGGCATGCCATTTATGCAGCTTTGGCAGGAAGCCACAACTTAACACTCCCCAGGAAGCCACTGGTCTATTCCACACAGATCACTGAGGAAAGGGACTAGACAATAGACATGCCCAGTAAAGTCTGGGTGACATAGGGAAGGAACGTCATTGGCCAGAGTAAGAGTGGCCTCTGCAAGTGTGGGAAGATTTGTGATACTTAATCTCTTAAACAAAGGAGTTCATTCTCTTGCGCTCTTGCCCACTTTTGTTCTTGCTTACTCGAGTTTGACTCCTGGCTTGTGGGGCTCTCACACTCCTGCACTTTCCCACATAGCCCACAGCCATGTGGCCCTCACACACAATAGAAAAATGGATCACAACTAGCCTAATGCTAAACCGGACCCAATTCCACCATGGAAAGGAAACTTTGGATGCTGACTTTGCTTCTAGCTCTGCTGAATCCCCAGTTACACCTCTTCCTAGATTGGATTGAGGGAAATGGGAAATGCTTATTCCAGCGGTACCCCCCAAGAGCCCCACTCCCACTAACAATGGAGAAAGACCATCCAAGCATTTCTCCAATAACAGCACCTATAACTTTCATTTTTTTAAAAAAACCTATATCTTTTATAGTATCCTTTATAATAAACTGGAAAACAAGTAAATGTTTCACTGTGAGCCACTTTGGCAAATTAATCAAATCCAAGGAGTGGGTCACAGGAACTCTGAGTTATAGTTAGCTGCTCAGAAGCATAGGTGACAATCTAGGCTTGTAATTGGCATTTGAAGTGAGGGTAGTCTGTGGGACTGAGCCCTTAATGGGTACGATCTGATACTATCTCCAAAAGCAAAATATTTCCTGTTGCACACATCAAACAAGCCAGTACAATCGGCTGCTAAAATATTTGGTAGAAATGGTGTGCCTGTGCATAAGGCACATAAGGGAAATGAATGCAACATGATTATAGTAATCAGTCATTAGCAAATGTTGTAGTTTGTTATTAATAATTATGTATAACAGGATATTGTAAAAATTAAGTTATAAAATTTTTATTAAAACATTTCTTGCATACCGTTATATTGACTGGGCCGCAAAAATATTAGTTTCGGGCAGCGAGTTTGACAGGCTTGCTCTAATCCTCTGTTTGGTTTCCCTGGCAACCAGCCCCCAGCCTTGGGGGATGGTGGGTTTTCTAAGTCACCACGTTAACATAAACTCAGGTGTGGTTGAATGGGGCTTGCTATGAATAAGAAGACACACCTTCAATCTTTATGAAACTGAAGCCAAAAAAACCCAACAAATACTATCAGAAGGTGCTCCCATTACTCCTATTGCTTAGGAAATCTAAGGGTTTAAGAGCTCTGTACCAGAAGTGGACAACGATAAACTATATATTTCTTATTATAAATCATGACATCATAATACCAAATTGGTAAAGAAAATATAAGTGATGAAAAATGAAAGTGAGTGGGGACATGTTAGTTGGAAAAGGGCAAGGAAAAGGAAAAATGATGGAAGGAAAGTGGAAAGGAAATTCAAATGAAGAAAAGGAGAAATAAAAGTCAACTGAGGTCCCCTTTTTATCTTTAATCAAATTGCCTGCTTGCTCCAAAGTAGAGGCAATTTGCAAAAACAACATTTGATCTATAATAAGAAATGATATAAAGGTCAATGCACATGTCCCATACCCTGTTTTACTAAAATTATGTATGATTCATATTTTAAATTAAGGGTTCAAAACCCTTTTCTCTTTAGCTTCTGCTCTCAGAGTGGCTTGCTTCTGTTCACATGGATTTTACCAGGGCCCTTTTCTTGACTTCGTCCTGCAAGTTGTGATCCTATAACATTAAATCCCAGAGCTCCAAGGTCAGGAGATGCCACAGGTCTGATGCCAAACATAAACTTGTCAGTATCATTAATACTATGGCCTTAAATGTTTGAAAGAGATGTAGTTAATAAAAAAAATGTTAAAATTACATATTACATATTAAATATGCAATATATGATATCCATATACAGATTGATTATTCATAAAATTTTCAAATTCACCCCTTCTAAATCTATCCATCTACCTATTAACTTACTTAGTTACACGATTCTGATGAACAAAATTGGCAGGATTTTTAATGACTAATCATTAACTTACTACCAACCAGTCCAGGAAATAAAATGCATTCACAGAAATAGCAATTCTTAAAATTTTAAAAAAATCCATTCCATTCAACTTTCTAAAACCATGTCCTTAATACCATGACCCTCCCAATTCTCAAACACAATTTTTAAAAAAACACATATATTTTTAATTAGTCATCATGATGTGGCTATAAAACTTTGAAACAACAATCAGCAAGGTCTATGTAGGAGCCTGCCTAAATTCTTGACATTTTTCTAATTGTTTTCTGCAAAACCACATGTATAGGAGGCAGTCACAATGGAAATAGTGAGTCCTTTACCAGGGCACATACATTCTCAGCTTTTTGTGCACACATGTGTCTGTGTTTGAGCGTGTCCATGTGCCAAGTTCCTTCCACAACTAAGATGCGTTTGACTTCTTGATCTTCCATCTTTATCCCTCTTTTACACAAAAGGCAACATCAATTAAATAATTGGAATTAGTTGCCAAGAATTATGAAGCATGTCTAAGCAGGGAGGAAAAAAAATCCTGCTTCTGACCATATGTGAACACATGAGCTTTAGATGTGTTCAGTAGGGCAAGGGCCTTGCTTAAACAGTCCTCCCGGTGATATTAGGGTCATCTTAGTGTTTACTAAGATAGAAGACTTAGTGTCCACTATCTCTGGAAGACCTGGTCCACAAATGTGATATTTAAGCACAAGTAGATTTTTAAGATTGAAAACAGCAATTTATCATGAAAGTGCTGCTTGTTAATCATGAAATTCTCTTTCTCTCTACCTCTGCTCCCCTCCATTCCAGGGGAATGCAGTGAAAAACTGAAATGAGAAACCATAATTGCAATCACATTCCTGCCCTGAGGTCAACCTAATTATCCACCTCTCAAACGAAAACAAATTTACGTCTTTAAAAATAAAGGTCCTTATCTCTCATGGGAAAAATACAAAGATTAAGATGACATTTAGGCATAAGTGCAATCTTTCATTCTTAAGTGACCTCTTAGTTTAATGGCTTCAATGCATTCTTATTCAAGTGGAATATATATTGCAGGAGAGAACTGTAATAAATGGCACTGTCATGACCCTTAGGTTAGAGCAAAGGAATATTGGAAAATAAATCTCAATTCTGGATACTCACCAGGCCTGCAATGGGGGTAGGCAATCTATTGATCTTTTTAACAAGTCCTGGCTTTATAGCATTCAGCAACCTGTCATGAAAAAGGCAGAATGTCAAATGAGACATAAAGCAAGATGGATCACACACATCACCTTTATCCGGGGCTACAGCTAAACTGCTGAATAGGAAAAGCAGGAATTCAAAGCATGTGGTAAATCTCAATAATCTATGAGCCTTAGTACATACAAGTAAAGAGCTTTGCCAACATCAAGTTTGTCAATGGCAGGTGAAGTTCTGGAACTTGGAAATGTTGGGAGAAAATAAAGGATGGAGGCCGGGAGATGCTTCAAGAGAAAAGACAAACATGGGAGCTGGATGGAGGTTGGGAGAGAATAGTCTAGGACTGGAGCCAGGTATTACTACATAGATAAGATGCATTCCCAATTCTCCTGGTTTAAGCAGGGATCTCTCCAGGGATGCGCTAAGTTCAGAGACCAACATCTATCTTCCCAAATAATTTGCCAAGACTAATTCTACCTCCAGATACTCTTGCTCTTTGAGGAAGTCGCTTGTTAAATGTAGCTGAGTTTCCCTTAAGAAAGGGAAGAATATGTTTAACAAGAGGTTAACCAATAATGTTCTGAAGATTTTGAACAAGGCTAACCACAGTTTCCTAGGTACAAAAATATGTGAGCAAAACATTTTCGGGGTAAAGGTGGAAATCAGGTAAAACTGGTAATACAACATGGGGAATACAAGGGAAAAATAACTACAACTACTTGTCTCCAGGAATTATCAATTCAGAGTAAAAAAGAAAAAAAGAAGGGCAACTTGTAAAACTAAGTGTTGGCATCAGGGTGACGTGGTGGGATGTAGCATTGGCAAACCAGGTTATTTATAAAGGGATACTGAAGGTTAGGGGTTGTAGAATGGAAGAATTTATTCCCACATTCAGGCATTGAGGAGAGGTAATCAGGCAACTTATCTCAGGATACAGTGCAAAAAGAAACTTAGGGCAGGAATTTATTATAATTGAGGGGTCAGCAAGCTCTAACCCATGGGTCAAATTTGGCCCAATGCCTGATTTTGTAAAAATGTTTTACTGGAAAACAGCCATGCCCATTCACTTATGTGTTGTCTACTGATGCTTTTGTGCAGAGCTGAGTAGTTATAAGAGAGAACATATGGTCCACAAAGTATGTGATTTTTATTATTTGGCCCTTTACATAAAAAGTTTGCCAATCTCTAGTATACAGGCATACCTCGGAGATATTGCGGATTCAGTTCCAGACTACTGCAATAAAGTGAGTGTTTGCAATAAAGTGAGTCAAAATCTTTTAGCTGGTGGAGGGTCTTGCCTTCAATTTGTCAAAAAATCAACATTTGTGAAGCACAATAAAATGAAGTGCAATAAAAGGAGGCATGCCTATAATTCATGCAATCCAAGATTCTAGTCAATTATGAAGAACCTATGCTTGATAGATTTCTACAAATCAGTAACAAAAGATATTTCGAAATAGTGTAATGATTAGTCTTCAATGCAACCTATATTTGACTTTGACACCACTATGCATTAATATTTTAAGAAATGTGCCTACAGTAGTTATGACAAGTAGGATATTCTGTTTTTTCACCAAGGATTTTGCCTGTTCTTAGTAACTTTCACTGCAATTCCAAGGAGCCACCACCAATAGGTAGCACACGTAGTAAACTTGTGCCTTCTTGCTCACCGAGAGCCAAGATGGAACTCTTTGCATGAACTCACTTCGTTTTAACCATGAATTTAATCTTTTTTAAAAAAATTACTTCTTTATAACTTATTTTGAAATTATTATAACTTATTTATAACTTAAGTTAGAAGGCAACTTGTTCACTCTTCTCATTTTACAGTTTAGCAAATGGAGGTCTGATGGTGATGAATGAGTAACTTCGCAGCATTGATGAGGGTGCAGCCAGGCCCAGTGCCCAAGCTTCCTGATCAGCACACTCTCTAACACAAGGTCAACATCCCACATATTGTGGCTTAAATAAAGGTTTTAATTGTATATCATCATAAAGATACATGATTTTTCTCACTAGTTTTTAACATTGTCATTTTAAACTGGATTTTAAAATAGTATTTGTGCATAGTGCTGGTAATTTAAAAGGATACTTGGTAAAATGCGGAGTCCCACAAGGCTCCAGAAGGTAACCTTAAAAACTTTCCAAAGAAAGTATATAAGGACACATATAACTTTTTTTAAAGGCAGATATGTAGCATGTAACATGCACTGTCCTACACCCTGTCTTTCTCCTTAACGATATGTCTTGGAGGTTAAACGATTTGCCTTGGAGAGTTGACTTATCAGTACCCGTGGACCTCTGTCCTTTCTAACTGTTCTGGACCACAGACTGATGGACTCAGCAGCAGGGTGAGAGCACTGGCTCTGGAGTCTAACCAACCAAATCCCAAATGCTACTGGTCATCTATTAAGGGCTGTTGCTTCAGAAAAGCCCATGAACTTCAGTTTCCTCAACTGCAACCTACAATATAATGGTACCAACTGCTTGAGTATCACTGAGACTTAAATGTGACAAAATATGTGAGACGCTAGCCTAGAGCCTGGTTCATTAAACTTCTCTATAAATGTTTCCCCACATCTGTGTGCATTGATACTAATTCCATCCACAGCATTTGACATCAACCACTTTCTCTAATATTTTAGATTTTTCTAATGAAATAAAATACCATTGCCACCGATATTCCCAAGCATTTTTTTGCTAATTAACCAAAGTAGAAAAAATAACAAACAGCCTACCAAAAAATCATAAGTTAAAAATTGCCTTTTAAAAAGGCACTCTTGCCCTAGCCCAGTGGTCGGCAAACTCATTAGTCACCGAGCCAAATATCAACAGTACAACGATTGAAATTTCTTTTGAGAGCCAAATTTTTTAAACTTAAACTATATAGGTAGGTACATTGTTATTAACTTAATTAGGGTACTCCTAAGGCTTAGGAAGAGCCACACTCAAGGGGCCAAAGAGCCGCATGTGGCTCGCGAGCCGCAATTTGCCGACCACTGCATTTGGCTCACTGAATAGAGCATAGGCCTGGGGACTGAAGGGTCCCAGGTTCGATTCTGGTCAAGGGCATGTACCTTGGTTGTGGGCACATCCCCAGTGGGGACCGTGCTGGAGGCAGCTGATCAATGTTTCTCTCTCATCGATGTTTCTAACTCTCTATCCCTCTCCCTTCCTCTCTGTAAAAAAATCAATAAAATATATTTAAAAAAATTTAAAAAGGCACTCTTGTCACTAATGTCTAAGACTTGTATTAAAAAGTTTATTATGATGGCTCCACCACGTCCTCTTTTATACATGTTTTTATTTTAAGCAACATGAAATACTTCATTATATACACTCTTTGTAGAATTATATTTATATGGCATAAAACTTTCCTGTAACATGAAACTGTAAAAAGCAAAAACAAAAACCTAATTTTAATGCTAGACCTTAATTAAAAGAGCAACAAAAATCTATGCTCACTGTCATAATTTTTAACCACAAATTAAAAAATAAACAGCCAAAGTGCTCTTAAATATTTGAAATACTTTCAAGATCAAGGCAGGTGATTTTTCCATATAAACATTGCCCCAGTTTCATACACAGTTGACAGTACACAACGATAAAAGATAACATTGAATTCACATTGCAGAAATGCCAAGCACCTGCATACCTTGTATTTTGTGTTAAACTGGAGGCTTTTTTGGTAAATATTAGGAGTCAAATGAGAAGTTCAACAATACAGCTATGAGGAAGAGTCAAGGCTGCTCACTTGCAATTTTATTAAAAACCACTCTTAAAAACAAACACCACTCTTACTTGCCTGTGCTAATTAAAATATAAATATTTTCAATAAATACTTACTGATGACATGCTTTAAAGCAATGATAATGATGACATTTTCTAGTCATGAACTTACTGAGATGCATTGTCTCCTGTTCTTTCTATAGAAACAGGTCATGTATTCATTCTACCATTTTGTGTAGAAGAAAAGACTAAGCCCCAAACAGATGTGAAGACTTCCCTGGAGACATGCATAGTTAGTTTGTAGCACACTGAGACAGTCTTCATATCCTAGGCCAGTCGTTTTAATCTGTAACGTGGTGTTTTAGAAAGTCCAGCTTTAGTATGTAATTAACACACACACACACACACACACACACACACACACACACACACATACACACACACACCAAAAACTGTCTAAATACAATGGGATAATATCAACAGAAGATGGGACTGAAAGATGGTCATTCACTCCCCACTCAGCAGAATCCCACACCAATTTCCCACTTGTGGTCTGTGCTCCCCAAAACCAATGGCTAGAGGGCCTGAAAAGGTAGTTTTCTCTCTTCACCTATTAATAGATTATCTTTGTACCCATCTCAAGACATTTCTGGGAGACTGGTATAATTCTACACAACAAAAAAGTAAACGTTTTTACTAATACCTGTCTTTTGCGTTAAATATACCCACAACTACAAACAAAAATACAGATAATAAAAATGTCAATGTGAGAGCTAGTTAGGATGAACTGTTTTCTGATATTTACCCAGCAGTTATTTATCAAGTGCCTTCTGTATGCTGCACACAATTCTAGGCCCAGGAGGGCAGCAGTGAACAAGACAAGCAAAGGTCCTGCTCTTTGGAACGTATCACCTTGGCAAACAGGTAGAGCCGTGGGAGAAACAGGAAATAAACAAGTAGATAAGCAAGAAGAAAATTTCAGATAGCATAAGCACTGGGAAGATGAGCATAGTAACAGGTGATGCAGGTGGAAGTTTTATTGGGTGGTCAGAAGGCTGCTCTGGGAAGTAATATTTGAGGCGGGGGGGGGGGGGGGAGGAATGATACAAAGGAATTAGCCAAGGAGAGACTGAAGACGAGTTCCAGGCAGACTGAATAGTTAGTAGAAAGGTCCAAAGACAGGAGTGTTGGCCAACGTAGCCAAGCAGAGTGAATGGAAGAAGGAGACATATGAAATGAGAGCCAATGTGAAGGCAACATCTAGCCCAGGTAAGGTGTCTAATTATTTCCTAAATGTAATCT